ATATTTTTACCTTATAAAGTCCTTAGTTGAACGGGGAACAAACAGTAAAACAAGAAACACCAAACAGCAACACAAAAACAACAATAAAGAGAACGCGAACACCAAAAATATATATAAAAGTAACGAAAACAAAACTAACAGAGCAAATTAATCGAAAAACTGTGGCTCAAAGACCAAGATAGCAGAACAGAACGGTTGGGAAAGCACGGGAATCAAGACGATAATTAATTCGGAGTGACTATTCGTACACACAGTATGTACGAATAGTACAAGAGCTATTGATACACACGGTGTGTACGAATAACTACAGCGCTAATCGTACATACAGTGTGTACGAATAGTACGCGCGCTGTTCATACTCACATGTAGGTACGTCCACATTACAAATGATACAAACATCTGTTCACACCATTTTACTCTCTCTACTGTGAATATTCTGTAGTTCGATTACGTTGAATATTTCATAATCATCAGATCATCAGATGGATAGAGATTTTGTACATAGGTATCACTCAGTAATTAGGCGTACTAACACAAGTTGAAAGCTTTTGGCGCCACAAATCTTCAATTTACCTTCAAATTCCAGTTCAAATTTAATGATTTTTACGAGCGTTGCACGTCTTTTCTAAAACCATATGGTATACTTATGCTTTTACAAATCTGTGACTATAAATCGCAAAATGGGTATAAGTGACAAAGAAGAAAAAGCTGTATTATGTCAAATATAAGCAAAATCGTAACTGTAACAGGCATTAGAAATAAATCCAAGAGACTAAGTGGTAGGTATTTCTATACAGGGTGTTATTGAAAGGTACGTACAACAAAATTGACAGTTCTTCGCGAAGTCTAAGAAGTCTAAAAAACTTATTTTGTGTTGTCAAAATTATAAGGGAAAGATCAACCCTTATCCAATCTTTTTCGACGCTACTGAAGGATAAATGTAACAATAAAACTTTTGTCAAAACTAAATGTTGCTATAGAAACGAGAGATGATCTTTTTATCAGAGGCGTACAACGAATTTGGACATAAATTTTAATAATTTTTATGTCTAAAAGGAGAACATTTTTACCTGAACTTTTTTTAAGTTTAGCACCCATACTTCGGGACCAATTGCCGATTTTATTTTGTACGTACCTTTCAATAACACTCTGTATATTAACATAAGAAACAAAACACAACAAAACGCTAAGTGCTAACAGACTTAACTTTTATTTTTTGTACATTTTTTTTTATTCAAAAAAACTTTAAAACAAAACAATGGAACTATTTTTAAGAAGATTATAAGAACTAAAAAAAAAGATAGTTTAATAATTAATTAATAGAGCATCTCCAAGTGTTCAGTATCATATTAAAGATTCTCGCTTTCACTGTAAACAGTACAAAACCAATCACCTTTCCGTTTTCGCTTGATATTGGGACATTTCTTTAGTACTGATTCCATTCGACATCTTGTTACAAATTCTGCAGTGCAAGTTCTTGATTTTTTTCGCAGTTATCAAAAAACGAAGTAGAGCGGAATAACCGGGTGCTGCAAAATCTTTTTGGACTAAAGATACATGCACTTCATTTAAAAAAAATTCTGATTTGATTAATTTTGGCTCAGTAGGTAAATGGGAAGTAGTATATTTAATAGTGGATTCGTAAGATAAACCAATCCATTCAAAGATCAACTTCTTTTTTTCATAATCTGATTTTAAGCTGTATTTTACTGGAACCCCAAAAGTTTGTTTTTTTCTTTTTACTCCCACAGCCGAAGACAAGTAACCTTTAGGGCGCCCACAACGAATTATTTTTGAAGGAAGTTTTGTTGCTTTTAATTCAAACAAACATTCTTCATTTACGTTGGTTTTGGATGAGGAAACAATAGTTCTTTTTGCCGGAGTAGGCTCGTTCATTTTTTGTAAAGAGCAACTAGGTAAAATATGACATTTTTTACTTTGATTCTACGAGATGATATTACTAGTAGATTTATGTCTATAGACTTCACTGTTAGCAAATATTTTTGCAAACGTTAATTGAACAGCATTCCCTACAGCATCATAGATGTGCCAATCAGAGCCTTAATTTTGAGGGATTAGTTTTTCTATTCTTTCCTCATTTGTCTTTGTTGCAGTTTCTTGGTTTACATTGTGTACCACTGCATTTTTCATATTGCGTTCGAGTATTTTCTATTAGTTTTTTGTTGTTATTGTTTATTTCTTCCAATGAATCACTTTGATTCAAGTCTTCAACGTAAATAATCTGTTCTTCCACATTTTTTCACAGTGTGATCAAACATTTTCCTCTGTGAAATTCATTTCAATTTCTTCAGTACCTCTATCAAGCACTTCGTTTTGTTAGTAACTGCATTTTCAGACGAACTTGCCAGTTCACATATAAGTACCTCTATATTCATTTCGTAATAACTGAGAAGCAATTTGGCGTCTTGCATTTTTTGCTTATATTTTTCAGTCCCAAACTCGGATATAACAACAGGAAGTCTGGAACATAATTTTGCTGCTTATTCATATTTTTTGTTAGCTCTAACAGCTGTAGGTGTTGGAGATGCGAAATCCAATATTGTTACTTGTTGGCATGCATCATTTGCATACAGATTTTCCATATTGCTAGACGCTCTGTGATAACTTAAATAAAAATTCTTCTTCCAACGATTAAGCATCCGTTTCGTCAGACGGATTCAAACCCATTTTTTCTCTTAAAGCCAAAATGTGGCAAGATGGCAATAGCATTTGGTTAGAAAGCTGCAGTCACATTTGTCATTTTTCGTTTAGTTCTAGGTTTTCCTTAATTTTGCATCTTACCATAAAAGAAAATTGCTGCAGTAAAGATTTCCAAGCAAAAGGAGTAATTAAGTTGTGATATTTCCATTGATAAGTATCCCGTTTAAATATAATTATTTCCTGGTTAAGGAGTAAATCGTGAACTTCTTTCAATTTCAATTGGTAATGAAGATAACACCTTCTTGAAATCAGTGAAAAACTGGTCCAGAGAAGACAGTTTTTCAATACTTGCTTTCAGCATTTGATTAATATTTTCTAATTTATTGGTTGCATTGTTTCCAAATGTTAGGCAGTGATGACGATATGCACAGACCCACTGCTCCTTTATGTCCTGCCAATTTTTCTCATAATATGCCGTAACTTTGGAAAAATTGAAACTTATTAAATTCTACTTCTATACTTATACTCTCCGTCACTATGGCTGTATGTTATCCTCTGTATCAAATTCAGGCACTGTTCTCTGTGGGCAGACGAAATCTTCATTTTATCCACAGTAATTTCCCTGCGAAACGTCTTTAGAGTGTACTATAAGCATAATAACAGTCTAGCATCTGGAAATTCCTGATTGAAAATGTGATGGTCCTTCATATCCTTATAAAGTAGTTTTTGTTGCCTCCCAGTTTGCATTTTCTTTTTTGAATAACTGAGTCACTTCGCCTAAAGTAATTTCGTCCTCATCAATCAACAAAAAGCAACATATAATTTCACTATGTCCATTTTCATCAACAGTGAGTACAACGACATTCTCAGGTTATTGAGTTTGTAGGTGCCATCGCACATTAATATTTCCGGAAAGTACTTGAACATTTGTTTCATTGTGTTACTTTGGTAGTAAATTGCTCTTAGATTTTTGTCGCTATTTCGGAAAATTTTTACTGAGTCTCCTTCTTGAATAAGTTTCGGGATAATCTCTTCGAGTTTGTGTTTAATGGGCTTTAGCAATTGACTTTATATTTCTAATTATTTCAGGGTTACGATTTTGTTTGTTTTTGACATAATATAGTTTTGTGCTTCTCTCGAATTGGCTTTCGTTTGCATAAGATGCACCATTTCTTCTTTGTCGCTTGGATCCAGTTTGTAATTTCTAACCATAAATTTGTAAGAGGATTCTTCAAGTCTGTGATTATGCATTTCTGTAATGCATAACTGATGATTATCGTTAATACTTATTTTTATACTAGCTGGACAATTATCTTGCATCGTTTTGTGTCTTCTTTGATTTACTCTTAAAATGTTTCCCTCTTTTGGAGCATGCATAATCAATTTTATAATATTGCACGTCATCACTACAGTTAGCGGCCTGTTTCTTCTTTCCTTCGGAAATTGTTACACTAATTCTTTTGTAAAAATATATATAATTCATGTCTTCGTAATTTTTTAAAGTTAGCGCTACTATTCGTAAGTTTCGAAAGTTTTTCCGACTGTTAACATATTGTAACTTTATTATCTTGTTATAGAAAAGATGTGCAGTACTTATAAAAATTATTAAACTCGATCTGGAATTTCTGGAGTTTGAAGGTACGTTGGGAACATTTGTGGCGGCAAAAGTTTGAAGTTATGCTTATATCTGCAAAGCTATGATTGGACTTTCGTTAGTACACGTAATTACTGAATGATACTGATATACATACACATACCTTTTATCTATTTGACGATGGTCACTAAATATTTAACGAAATTAAACTGAAAAATAGGCACAGTCAGAATCGTTCGTGTGTGGGCGTACAATTGTGTGTACGAATAGCGCTGTAGTTATTCGTACACACTGTATGTATGAATAGCTCTTGTACTATTCGTACATACTGTGTGTACGAATAGTCACTCCGAAAAATTCGACGTTTCAAGTTGTCAAAGTAACCGAAGCGCTATTATTTATTATTTTCATAGATATTGTTTTAAATTTAAAAACATGCCGCCAGCGCCTCTCGTGGACTGTTCCCCGTACTAAAACGCATGCTCATTTCAATCCTTTGAAGTTCCCGCCCCATGTCGATGACGTTATTATTCAAGCACACTTTTTTAACGATAAGCAGTACTAAAAATAAAGTTATTGCTTTTGAAACCATGTTTTTCAATCGTAAATTTAGTACTAAACAGGACTGCTTGTATGCACTTGTTTGGTGATCTGTGTAAGTGACCCTTAACCAGGTTCGTGATAAGAAAATATGTTATTGCAAAAACGGAAAACCCAAAAAGGATATAAATAACAAACAAGTTGGTGCCTTCAAAGTATCTTTTTTTAATAGTAAATTTAGTACTAAAATTTTTAACAAGATTTAAGTGGCCTCTAACCTAGCTCTAGGTTAGAAAATCTGTTATTGCAAAAACAGAAAAACCAAAAACTTTGATTTATTATATCACCGAATTCTCAGGTTCACAGATAAGTAACATCATTTACAAATTTAATTTTTTCGTTGTCTAATCATCATCCTGGCCTCCTTAAGACTATAATTAAAGTCATGAAACGACTGCCATTTAATCGCCGACTTAAAATTCGAACTAGCAGTCGGATTTTTTATGTAACTACCAGTCAGATGAACATGGTAACAGTCGTCGTACCACCAAGCCCCGCCTGAAACATAAACAACCACTTCAAAAAACAAACACACAAATTTTAAAAAACTAACTGCGAAAATTTGGGCAGTCGTTCTTATTAGGTGGATTTCCATGGTCAACGGTGCTAAAACCTTGATTGAGGTGATAATTGAACGAATCTCCAACCGTGCCAGTATAGTTTCCAATTGACGTTATTTTGTAGTAGTCAGACTCACTAGCAACCTTAAAATTACTATAAAGTGCGTGAACTTTCTTTGAATCCCAGTCGACGAGTTCAAATAACAACTCAGTCGGTTTGTTACCTACAACAATTGTCAAAAAGTGTCAAAAAACGAAAAATACACCACTTAGTACTCGTCAGTTGATGCAAATGTTCCAGACCCAACCAGTGCTCTCCAGACAGGTTACCAAAACCTTGTTTATAGTCAGTCCAGTTTAAAAAAAAGTTCTGGGAACCATCAAACCTGTTTATAACGTAGACCCAACCCCCTCCTCGAGTCGTCATGTCGCACCACACCGAAAAAGTCTCACTTTTCGGCCTAATGCGATAAATCCCAGAAACGTTAACTCTTTCTTGAACTTCAGTGCAGTCTGCAGGGACGTACTCATCTTTTTGTTTTTCCATGTATGTGGCGATTTTGTCGTTCAATGAAATTAGCTGTTTTTTTATAGTCTCGATTTCGTCACTTCCTTCGAGCTTTTTGGTCTTGGCGACGATTTCCATTTTTGTTGTTTCGAGTTGGGTTTTCATCTTTAGCTCGGTGTCTGCCAGACTCTGTTGCGTCTCGTTAACAATTTCTTGCTTTATTTCTCGCAAAAAGTCTCTCAGGTTTTCGTCAAACGATTTTAGTTTAGTGTCGACTTCGTTGATAATTTCGTGTTTCGTTCTTTCGAGGTATTTTAAACTGTCGTTGATGGCGCTTAAAGCCGCTCGGATTTCTAAATGAAACTCGAGTCGTTCCACACGGTTTTCCAAATATTGAAACTCGGAGGGACGTTGGCTCGTGGAAATAATAGAGAACTGTAAAAATTGTTTTTTCAACTTTTAGAAACAGAAAATACGTACACTTTTAGGTTCGTCGACTTGCTCTAGAAGCACACTTTCTTCTACACCTTCAGGTTCATCGAGGTCCTCAAAAAGTGCACTTTTGGCTACACATAGTGCAAAAAACACAGTCAAGAGTTTAAACAGCATCTTCTTCCACTTATAATGAATGACTAACTAAATTATTTTATCAACTCTGACCCAGCTTAACACTGGGAAAACACATATGGTATAAAAATACAGAACGACGATAAAAATAAATTCCAAAGGTCGTTTTCTACTTAATAAATAGCTCAAATAATAATAATAAATCAAAAAAGACCATCTGTATCAATTTACTAAAAATATATTATTTAAAATATTTAAAAAAAATGGCCATTTTTTAACCGCGCCTTGATGTAGGCAACCAGCAATACATCGCTGTATCAGTAAACAACACTGCATCCAATTTACAGAATTTTACAAAAATTGTACCAGTTTTACGTATTAATTTTACTAAATTAACAAAAAATGGCCAAAGGTGTTCACAACTCTTTATTTAGTGCTTTTTCACCGAAAAAGTACGCTTACGAAAATTGAGGTTATGTTACGTTTTCATTTTCGTTATTTTGCAGCGAACTGGCAACTGTGAGCCCCCAGGCAATAATCATGAATGAGAGGACACCCCAAAATTGCTAAAATGACTACCGTGTTGTTGTACATGTACGATTTGTCCGATGGGTGGTGCAACAACCTGGGTCCTCTGTGTCCCGTGAAGGCTGTATGGCACACCAGTATCGTGGTCTACGGGAAAGAATATGTCTTCGGGAACACTGGGATCAAATTTCACGACCCTGTAACTCCTCGGGGTGTTTTATCCATTTTTTAAATCCAGTGTTGTAGGGGAAGCCTCAGAAAATTATCGAACTGGGAGAGACAAACGTGCCCATGTTGGACTTCAAGCTTTACGTGAAGGGGTTAAAGTACTCCGCGTGGGCGTATTTTAAGTGTTTTTGTTGTCGTATTTGTGTATTTAAGGTTTGTTTTAGGGCTTCATCGTATAATCCGTTTAAGCATAACTGCAATCATTTTACTGAGCACATTTCGGAGTTTCTGGGGGTGAGTTCAGTTCCAGAAGAAGTTTTTACTGCGGTTGATAAGTTGAGGGAGTCCCCGTTTTATTCCAAGGTGGTGGATTGGATTACCAAAAATGGTCAGAAGGAGCCGAAGAGGGTGGATTTGTAAGGGTTTTGGCTTGGTTTTTTGCAATAATGTTACTATTGGAAAATTTTTGTGTGGTTGACAAGGGTACAATTTACAGGTATTTATTACATAATAATGTAATGTACTGAAGTTTACCTTTTGTATTTTTTGTTAACTATTACTATGAAATGTATACAAAATTCGTACTTTGTTGTGTGCAAAGCTACTGCTTCTGAATTACTACATTGTATTTTAAAATAAATGTAATTAATGCAGAATAAAGTTAAAGTGTTCCAGTGGACACTAATTTGTTCCGCCTCTTTTAAACTGTGTTAACTATTATAGTGGCAAAACTACAACATTTTTCAAATTTTCCAGATATGAAGTACCATTCAAGTTCATAAATTGGCACCCCTTGATGAGTACACAATATCATTTAAAATATATATATTGTATATTGGGTGGTCTGAGTATTTTTTAACTGGCACTTTTTTAATAGTTTTTCCTGTTTTAATTTTTCGATTTCTCAATTTCTGGATATTTCAGTTTTTGGATCTTTTATTTTTTCGATTCTTCAATTTTTCCTTCATTTTCCAATTTTTCGATACTTCAGTGTTCGATTTTCAACTTTCTGTTTTTCAATTTTTCGATATTTAGGTTCTAGAATTTTTCAAATTTTTATTCTTCTAGTTCTCGATTGTTTTCAATTTTTCTCGTTTTTAAATTTTCACTTTTCCGAGTAATTGATTTTTTAATTTTGGGATTTTTTGAATCTTCAATTTTTCCATTTTTTGACTTTTGAACTTTGGATTTTCCATTTTACGATATTTCAGTATTAAAATTTTTCAGTATTTTTATTTCTCCACTTTAAATGTGTTCTTTTTTTTAGGTTTTCGATTTTCAGGTTTTTGATTTTTCAGTTTTTCGATTCTTCAATTTTTCTTCCATTTTTAATGTTTCGATTTTTCAACTTTCTAATTTTTAGATTTTTAAAGTTTGAGACTTCTCAAGTTATCCATTTTTTATTTTAGATTTTTCGATTTTTCAATTTCTCAAGTTTTCGATATTTTAGTTTAGGATTTTCCACTTTTTCGATTCTTCAATTTGTCGACTTTTCTCGATTGGAAAAATTTTCGATTTCTCGATTTTTCAAATTTTCTGGTATTTCAGTCTTTGACGTTTCTAAATTTTCAATTGATTGATTTTTTGATTTGCCATTTCTTGATTTCTCGACTTTTCAGTTTTTCAATTTTTCGATCTTTCAATTTTATGACATTTTAATTTAGAATTTTTCAGTATTTTTATTCTTCAATTTTTCGAGTTTTCAATTTCTCGATTTTCGATTTCTTAATTTTTTCATTTCAATTTTCTGATTTTTCACTTTTTCGAATCTTCGATTTTCAGAGTTTTAAATTTTTCGATTTTTCATTTTCTCGATTAATCGAATTTTTATTTTCCCATTTCTCGATTTCTTGACTTTTCAATGTTTCTTCAATATTTCGATTACTCGACTTTTCAATTTCCCAATTTTCCACTTTTTAAATGTTTTGATTTTCAATTTTTCCGCTCCTCCAATTCTTTCATTTTTTAATTTTTAGATTTTTCGAATTTCTGATCTTTGAATTTTTCGATTTTAAAATGTTATACTTTTCAGTTTTTCGACTCTTTAATTTTCCGATTTTAAAATTTTCCAAGTTCTCATGTTCTCTACTAATCGATTTTTTATTTTCCCACTTCTCGATTTCTTGACTTTACAATGTTTCAGTTTTCCAGTTCTTCACTTTTTCGATTTTTCAATTTTTTGATACTTCAGTTTTAGGATTGTTCAATATTTTAGTGTTGGGATTTCTGTTTTTCCATTCTTCAGTTCTTAGTGTTCCGATTTCTTGATTTTTTCATTTTTCGATTTCTAAATTTACCGATATTTCAGTTTTACGATTTTTCAAATTTTCGACTCTTTGGTTTTTGGATTTTTTAAATGTTTGGATTAAATTTTTGACGTTTGTAAATTTTCAATTTCTCAATTTTTCGATATTTCAATTTTGGGGTTTTCTACTTTTTCGATTCTCAATTTTTCTTCCATTTTTCAATTTTTGGAGGTTTTAGTTTTGGGATTTTTCAATATTTCGACTTTTCAAATTTCAATTTTTTGATATATCGGTTTTAGAATTTTCAATTTTTTTTATTCAATTTCTCGATTGTAAAAATATTCGATTTCTCGATTTTTCATTTTAGATTTCTTAAATTTTCCAATTTTTCGATTAATGTTTTTTTTTCGGTTCCAATTTTCCGATTTTTTGATTTTCCTATTTCTTGACTTTTCAATGCTTTTGATTTTTCATTTTTTGACTTCGTAAATTTTCCAGTGTTCCAGTTTTACGATTTTTCAATTTTTGACATTCCTAAATTTTCAATTTTTCGTTGAATTGATTTTTTGATTTACGCAGTTTTTTGATTACTTAATTTTTCAATATTTCATTGTTGGGATTTCTCTGCTTTTCGATTTTCCAATTCTTCAATTCTTAATTGTTTAAATTTTCGGATTTTTAAATTTTTAGATTCAATTTCTCGTAAATTTTAAATTTTTGATTTTCCTAATTCTTGACTTCAATGTTTCGGTTTTCTAATTCTTCATTTTTAGATTTTTCAGGTTTTTGATTTTTCAATTTCTCAATTTTTCGATATTTCGGATTTTCCATTTTTTCGATTCTTCAATTTTTCTATTTTTCAATTTTTCGGTTTTAGAATTTTTCAATTTTTTTGTTCTTCAATTTCTCGATTGTAAAAATTTTCGATTTCTCGATTTTTCTTTTTCCATTTTTCTTGATTTCTCGACTTTTCAATGTTTTCATTTTTCAATTTTACGATATATATTTTAGTTTTAGGATTTTTCAATATTTTAATTCTTCAATTTTTGGATTTTTCAATTTTTCAATTTGTTAGTTTTCAATATTTCGATTTCTAGCTTTTTTAATTTTTTGATTTCTCCATTTTCCGATGTTTAGTTTTACGATTTTTCAGTTTTTCGACTCAATTTTCCAATTTTTAAATTTTTCGATTTCTCATTTTCTCGATTGATGGAATTTTTATTTTCCCATTTCTCGATTTCTTGACTTTTCAGTTTTCCAGTTCTTCAATTTTTCGATTATTCAATTTTTCTTACATTTTTCAATTTTTCGATATTTCAGTTTTGGAATTTTTCAGTATTTCGATTCTTCAATTTTTCGACTTCGCGTCTTTCGACTTTTTATTATTTTAGTGTTTTTCAATTTCTCAATTTTCCGATGTTTCAGTTTTAGGATTTTTCAAACTTTCGACTTTTCAGTTTTTGGAGTTTTTAAAATTTTTAGATTCAGTTTTTAACGTTTGTTAATTTTCAATTTCTCGATTAATTGATTTCTCGACTTTTCAATGTTTTCATTTTTCAATTTTACGATATATATTTTAGTTTTAGGATTTTTCAATATTTTAATCCTTCAATTTTTCGATTTTTTTATTTAAAATTTCGTCAATCTTTTATGTTTAATTTTTCAGTTTTCCGATTCTTTAATGTTTCATTTCTTGAAATTCTCGTCAATTTTGCATTTTTTCGAATTTAGAAAGTTTGGATGTTCCAATTTTTAGATTTTGTTTTCTCACCAGTTTTCAATTTTTCGATTTTTCAATTTCTCGATTCTTCAGATTTTCGATTTTTCTTTTTTCGATTTCTCAAATTTTCCAGTGTTCCAGTTTAACGATTTTTCAATTTTTCAATGTTCGACGTTTCTAAATTTTCGATTTTTCGATTAACTGATTTTTGATTTTCCCCTTTCTTGACTGCTCGACTTTTCAATGTTTCAGTTTTTTTGTATTTTTATTCTTCAATTTTTGGATTTTTCAATTTCTAAGTTTTTTCATTTTTCGATTTCTCAATTTTCTCTATTAATCGAATTTTTATTTTCTCATTTCTCGATTTCTTGACCTTTCAATTTTTCTCCTCAATTTTTCGATTTTTCATTTTTTCTATATTTCCCTTTTAGGAGTTTTCAATTTTTTTATTCCTCAAATTTTCGGTTTCCAATTTTCCGATGTTTCCAATTTTTAGAATCAATTTTTGACGTTTCTAAATTTTCAGTTTTTCGTTTTCCCAATTTCTCGATTAATAGATTTTTTGGTTTTCCTATTTCTTGACATTTCAATGCTTCAATTTTTCAGTTTTTGACGTTTCTAAATTTTCAATTTTTTGATTAATTGATTTTTATTTTCCCACTGATTTCTCGACTTTTCAATATTTTGATTTTTCAGTTTTTCAATTCATCAATTTTTCGATTTTACGATATTTTAGTTTTAGGATTTTTCAGTACTTTTATTCTTCAATTTTTCGGTTTTTCAATTGTTTGATATTTCAGTTATAAGATTTTTCAATTTTTATCCTTTAGTTTTTCGATTTACTCAATTTTTCAATATTTCAGTGTTGGGATTTCTGTTTTTCGATTCTTCAATTCTTAATTGTTTAAATTTTCGACTTTTTCATTTTTCGGTTTCTCAATTTTCCGAGTTTTCAATTTTTGGACACTTCAGTTTTTGGATTTTTAAACTTTTTGATTAAATTTTTCACGTTTTTAAATTTTGAAATTTTCCTATTTCTTGACTTTTCAATTTTGGGATTTTCTACTTTTTCGATTCTCAATTCTTCCATTTTTCAATTTTTGGATGTTTCAGTTTTGGGATTTTTCATTTTTGACGTTTCTATATTTTCGATTAATTGATTTTCTGGTTTTCTCATATCGTAATTTCTCGACTTTTCAGTTTTTCGATTTATCGAGATTTCGATGTTTCGATTTTTTTTTTTTTTTTTGGTTAACTTCATGATTTTTCGATTTGAGTTTTAAATTTTTCTAATTTGGCCTATTTTGATTTATCTCAATTTTTAGACTTCTCCACTTTTCGATTTCTCGATAGTAAATTTTTTGATATTTCAGTTTTAGGATTTTTCAATTTTTATCCTTCAGTTTTTCGATTCTTCAATTCTTAATTGTTTAAGTTTTCGACTTCTTTTTCGTTTTTCGATTTCTTAATTTTCCGATTTTTCAGTTTTGCGATTTTTCAATTTTTAGATTCAATTTTTCACGTTTGTAAATTTTCAATTTTTCAATGTCTCAATTAGTAGATTTTTGATTTTCCTATTTCTTGACTTTTCAATGTTGCGGTTTACCAATTCTTCAATTTTGATTTTTCAAGTTCTCGATTTTTGGATATTTCAATTTTGGGATTTTCTACTTTTTCGATTCGCAATTCTTCCATTTTTCAATTTTTGGAT